TAGGGGACAAGGACCTGCGCATACCCTGTTGGAGTAGAATGGTGTAAGAATTAGCCTTCTATCACCAGGCAAGATTGATATATCGACCAACAACTGGATTGACAGGAGATCATGATGATGATGATGAAGATGAAAAAAGGTGGCTGAACAAAACGGCTGGTTTGCAGATTTTTTATTTTTCTCCCAGAAAAGGTCTAGAGTCACGCTAGTGATACCATTGGAGCCTCTGGTCAAGATAAGGTCCTCTGAGAAGTCTGGTAAGCATAGGAGCTCTTTTTCGGCTGCAAAAGTCGTGGCAGCCATTTTGTTTGGGGGTGAATCCTACTTAGTAACGCTACCGCGTTACTAATAATCACCCAGTCTATACACGTGACCTGATTAGTTTCCAATCCCGGTTACGTTTACGTTGTCTATAATATCATAGCAAGAGTAGATGATAGTTAGAGAGAGTGTCAAACCATAGATACTATATACCCCTGGATACGAAACTCCTCTATGCACACATATAAAATCCCATAAGGAAACGTCATAAACGTCACATCCGGCTGTCCTCACCCTTGTTTCGCTGCATTCATGGCTGCCAGGGTAAGTAAAACAATCACAGTAGCCTATTCGTTTGTTAAAGTAGCTGAATGATCCCTCAGAGGACTTTGCAAAGCCTTTATATATTGAAATAATGCTCATAAACGATAGTTTGAGTGCATATTTTAGTTCTACAATGGATGTCATAGCCTACTTGTTGTGTACATTTCACTCAAGCCACTTTTTTAGCTTAACTCTGTTGAATTAGGCTAACATTTTTTATTGTACTGATAGGTTATTGTTTACTAGTTGTAGTGGGGCTATTATTTAGAGTTTGTGTTAAGTAAAAGAGCTGTTATTTTCTAAATCTTGGTTTTTCAAGCCCCACCTTTCTAGCCAATTTTTCTTTGTAATACTTGACTTAATTGGAACTTTTTCTATATGGTTTTGTAGCTTAAGAATAGGTAGTTGTAGTGGGCCTATTCTCAAAAGGAGTGTATTTTTAGTTTTGGTGCAATTGTGTTGTCAAAATCATCATTTTTAGGTGACAAGAGATGGGAAAGTCATGCATTGGTAGACTGCATATACTAAAAGAAAAGGAAAGTTTCAGCAATTATAATGCATGATAAATGTCAAGTTTTATTGTATTATTGTACATAAAATCACACTTTTATTAGCAATAATAATACTTTTTATCATTGTTTTATTTTTATTCTGAATGAAAACGTAATATGACGTATTTCCGGTGAAACAAGCCTCAGAACATCCGGTCGGGCCGTGTTTCATATCCAGGGGTATATAGTATCTATGGTAGGATTCACCCCCAAACAAAATGGCTGCCACAACTTTTGCAGCCTTGCTATACATAGGCGGCTATAGGCCCGGGCAAGCCAGGGCTTTGCCCTGGTAGTTTTCAACCAAAACCACACCCAAAAGGTGTGTTTTGTTATTATTAGGAGTGATATCATCACTAGAATTTATTTTTTTATAGCCACAACTGTTTATACTTGCTATCAGCTCCTTTTTACAGTTATTTTAGTGTGGTAACTGGCTTTTGTGAGCTATCATAATGACTTTCAGTCATTTTATTAATTGACCACACCCCTGATTCTTATGAATAATTAATGAGCCCTGGTTAATTCAATTAAGATTCTGTAGCCGCCTATGTTGCTATACCGGGAAAACGAGCTCCTATGCTTACCAGACTTCTTAGAGGACCTTATCTTGACCAGAGGACTCCAATGGTACCACTAGCGTGGCTCTAGACCTTTTCTGGGAGAAAAATAAAAAATCTGCAAACCGGCCGTTTTGTTCAGCCACCTTTTTCATCTTCATCTTTTCATCATCAAGTCCTGTCAATCCAGTTGTCGGTCGATATATCAATCTTGCCTGGTGATAGAAGGCTAATTCTTACACCATTCTACTCCAACAGGGTATGCGCAGGTCCTTGTCCCCCTAGAATCATTCTCCAAGAAAGGAAGAAGTGATACTGTGATTGTTGGTGGATCGCACCAGCTTACCCCATGCCGCCATTTTATTAATTAAAGAAGCATGTGCTCCAAAATTTAGGCGTGGTCGCGCATGCTCAGATCTCATCTATGGATCTCAGAACTGGGAACAGCAAGTATTTTTTACCTAGCTATAGGCTAGCTATGCTTGGAATCAAATTGCAATACTTAGTGGAGGTTTCCAGCTAAGAGAAGGTATTAATCTTGCATATATCAAGTGTGTAATGAATTATTTTATTTCAAAAACACAAAACAATTATTGTTATAATACCAATGATAATATGAACTGGACAACAGGAAGAACCTGCTGGAATAGCTACAGGATTTCTGGGAAGATAGAGCTTCTTGAACAAGGATTCACGTCAAGACTATAGTATTCATTTCACTTGTCATCAGTATAGTAAATATTCCTTCAGCATATCTATTCAATTCAATCAGTGCTGTCCCTCATAAATGCTGTAAAATCATAACAATGACAACAATAATAAAGAAACTCATTGTTTGTGTAAAATCAGAAAGTATCACAATTGTAACTGAAAAAATATTATAAATATTATAAAAAATCAACACAAACAAGAAGAACATAAAAAATTAAAAAAAAAAACAAGATTGAGTAGGATTCCGAACGACCAACGAAAATACGAAATGAAAATCCTACTCTCGTGACGCAAATTCTACTTTACATTGTAAGGTGATCCATAACTTTTAAATAATAACATTAAAAGTACAATGTAGAGTAGAATTTGTGTCACAAGAGTAGGATTTTCATTTCGTATTTTTGTTGGTCATTCGGAATCCTACTCAATCTTGTTTTTTTAAATTTTTTATGTTCTTTAGTCCATGATTTTTTCCAAAAAATGGCTCCAAAATCACCTCAAATTTTTATTAAATTTTCTGATACATATTAATGTCGTTATGCTGTGTAGCAAGTTTGAGCTGATTCCGACTTAAATTTTTCAAGTTATGGCCATTTTAAGAAAACACAAAAATTCTGAAAAATACCCAAGGCTATTATAATAGCCCATGGTTTTTTCCAACAAATGGCTCCAAAATCACCCAAATTTTTATTACATTTTCTGATACATATTTATGTCCTTATGCTGTGTAGCAAGTTTGAGCTGATTCCAACTTAAATTTTTTAAGTTACGGCCATTTTAAGAAAATGCAAAAATTCTGAAGAATACCCAAGGCTATTAGTAACGCGGTAGCGTTACTAAGTAGGATTCACCCCCAAACAAAATGGCTGCCACGACTTTTGCAGCCTTGCTATACCGGGAAAACGAGCTCCTATGCTTACCAGACTTTTCATAGGACCTCATCTTGACCAGAGGACTCCATTGGTATCAATAGCGTGGCTCTATACCTTGTCTAAGAGGAAAGCCAAAAATCGGCGAACCGGCTGTTTTCATGTCCAGAAATTGCAATGGGCCGTGCGGACATTTCTTAATAATTATATTCATAGCATTCAATAATTATATTCATACGTAAATAATTTTATTCATTGATTAATAATAATATTCATAAGCGTTACCACGGTAACAAAATGGCGCGTAAATGCAAACAAACTGTCACTGCTGGTTTCTACAAGGAGCTACATGAAAAGGAAGAATTTGTTGAAGAAAATGATCAATGTTTGGTAGTTAGTGGTAATGAAACTGATGTATATGAAGTGGAGAGGTTAATAGACAAGAAAGTTAAGAAGGTATGTATCAGACAGTTTCTG